AAGAAAATATTTTACATCTTTTTTCTATTCTCAATCTTATTATGACAAGGACGAATCAAGAAGGTAATGAAAATGATAGTTCAATGAACAAAATAAACAACAAACAATCAATTGCTGCGATTTCACCTAAGTTACCACTTTCTTTGTATTTCCAGGTGGATGACGAATACTCCGATGAAGATTATGGCGAACTATTCAAAACATACATTTTGAATGTATCCAACGACGATTTGGCTAACTTCACTTCCCCTGGCGGTTCTAACAACAGTGACGACCACGCTCAATATGAAGAATCAACGGAACTTGTTACATGGCTTTTTGCTTTAAACATTGTTTCCGGTATCGGTATTTTAACAAATAGTGTGCTAGCTTTTATGATTATCGTGGACTTCATAATCGACAAAAGTATGAGATTTTGGACACGTCACTGGTTAGTGCTCAATTCGGCAATCACGCATGTAGCTTTCCTTGGAATTTCTATATACATAAGAGAATTTGGGAGGCACAAAGATCAGAGTGACAGAAATTGTCTTATTCTTCAACATACTGATAAGACGATAGACTTTGTTACAAGTTTATATCTTGTAATAATAGCAATAAACGTCGCCGGGAATATTGTGAAGCCGACTATCCCGTGTGGCAAGAAAAGTATTTTGTTCTGGATTTTCTTCATCTTATTCATCATGGTCTGTGCCAACGTTGGCGTATTAGCGCTCTTTACAATGGAACTTGATGGCCTGTCTCACGATTTGAAATGCCAAGTGGATGTTACCTTATATCTGCCCGCAAGAAATGTGCACCTGGTTGCTATAGTAACGTTCTATATTCCATTTGGATTATTACTTACCCTTGCCTTTTCGTCACTTATCTGTTCTTGCACTCCACAACGACATTTATCACTCACTGAGTTGGAAAATAATGAATATTACATCGCCAGAAAACACGCGGCAATATTTATTTTTATAACAGCAACGGCAGGTTTTCTTTTGAAGTTGCCGTACTATCTTTTTCAAGTGCCAGTATTAGCATATTTTGTGCTTGCGGGGTTAAAGGCTAGTTACTACGTAACATTTTTCATAACACATTTGATGAAATTGTTATTTTACATATTGTTTCCGATTTTGTGCTTATGCTTGAAAGATATACGTGCAATATACAGAAAGGCTGTTTCAAACTAATCTACAACAGACGTGGGCTGTATAACTGACGTCATGGTCATTTCTCAAATCTTTGGCTTTAACAGCAAGGGCCTTAATAAATTTTGTGCAATACAGATTCTATATAATTTCATTCTTTTGATATATGCATATGTACATGTGTATTAAATATTATCTAAATGCTTATTGCGGTATTGTTTTTATCCGAGCCCGCATTTGTTATTGACATTTTTGTTTGTTTGTTTCATTTTACGCCTTTTCCCAACAGTTTTTCAGTCATTTAGGCGGGTAGTTTCCTGACCATCGTTCCTGGAAAGTTACACCAGTACTAGACTACCTTCCTCCGCGCTAAACTACCAAAGCGTCTCCCAGGGATCGAACCCACGCCAGATAGGTAAATGGATTAGAAGTCATCGACTCTAACCTTTCGACCACGGAGGCTATTGACATCGTAATTGTTTTCAAAAATGTGCTTGACATTACTTGTATATGGTTTCATTTTTATCATAAGTGCAGACATTTTGTAAGACAAAATATGATGGCATCTACTATGACATCATTAAACAGTGATAACACGCTTTAAACCCTATCTCTGTTACATCTTAGAAAAAATTGTTTGACTATTTTAGTTTAGATGCAAAGCATGTTTTTCTTATCATTAATTATCAAATATATTACAATTGATTGTTACAAGACCAAGTAATCATTGGAGAATTTCCTTTTGATTAAATCCATGTGCATGCTGAATTCAATGGAAATCTTATTGTACTTTGTTCAACAATAAACGTGCTTACACATGATGTCATAGGATTGGCTGATATTTTAAGAGTAAAAAATGAATGCGTTAAATTCGTTATAGGTGGTTGCGTTATTTAAAGTTGCAATAGCGCCTTATATAAATCAAACTAAATGTGCTTCAAATGAACTATTTTTTAGTATTAAAGTAAAGGTAAAGACCAGTGATATTTAAATGTTTTCTATGACTTATATATTTGAAATGTGTTTTAAAATACATATGTTTACTATAACAATGAAAAAATCATTTCAATTCACATAGTGTACTCGCATTAAAATAAGTACAACCGACATCTGCCATCTTGAAACTGTAACTTGGATAGAGTAAATAACAGTCTCCATCGACATCACCTCCCTCATTCGTACCCCAGTCTGAAATATGTTATTTACATATAAATGCTTATATATACTGATGTTGTCAGGAAAATTCAAAAGAAAAATGGATTTGAATGGAAAACAAAGGCCAGTCATTTTTTCAATGGTATTCTTATTCTATAATCATCTCATGCAAATGACACTGTATAAATCGTTTCCAGGAAGACATGAGAAATCATTCCATCTGTAACCCCCAGCCCGTAGAAACACAGCACAATCTTCCCCGACCCCGGAATCGTTAGACTCACTTCTGTCCCAGTCTGAAAATGTTTCTTTGACTTTTAATCTCACTAAACAACTTTTTCTCCAACTTCTTCCAAATATTGTTTTATCTAAGCATTCTTGAAAATATGCTTGCCACATATAATAAGTACATGTGCATTACGATACAAAAAGAAATGAGAAAAAGAAATAATAGAACTAAACTCTCATGTGTAAAAAGATGGATTTATATTATATGTAATGACAATGCCTAGGTATATAAACACAAATTGTGGAAGCATTTACAATACTTTGAATTTTTTATCATTAGTTCGACGTCTCACAATTTAAACTAAATTTTTCTTAAAATGCGATTAGTGTCGAGATTTTTTTGTATTTTTCGCATGTTTGCCCGAGAATGCGAAAATGCGAAAACATAAAGCTACGATAAAGTTGATATTCGTATTCGTACCTTCGAATTTTCGAATGTCTGTGGCAAAAAAGCGAAAATATGACACAGCGAAAATCGGCCAACATAGGCATACTACGACCTCACCTTACATGCTGAAAGTGCTCCTTTAATTGTTGGTTTTAAAAGAACCAAATGTTCACCAGTAAATTAAACCGACAAGTTTGATTTTTTTAGCAAGCGGTACTAAATGATTGCATCGAGTTGGCGTGCATATGGATTGTATAATTATATCTATTGCCGTGCTTCGAAGAAAGTCGATTGATAGTTTAGGTATGTACACAGATATATCTCAGACATTGTGTATCAAAGACCTAAATTAGCAAATTGTCAAAGGTACTCAATGTATCTAGATAATTATTATTAATAGTAATTTTATATGAATATCATACTTGTGTAATTAACAAGTTTATTTGTGTCTGTCCACTTCCACGTGCCTTCTACGTCACTGTCTGTCATTCCTATCCACCAACCATTACCAGGATCTACAAGAATTCGTGAAATAGATATTAAAACAATTATTGGAGGACCACGCATATTTTATAATATGAGTACAGTTAATAATTTGTTATATAACACAGATAGCCAAAACCTAAGCCGAAAAAAAAGAAATGAAAGTAAACATGATAAAATGTGAATCGGGGTTTGAACAATCTTCCTAAATAACGCTACACATTACATATAAGAAATAAGTAGATCTGAACTTTAGACACTGACGCGACATTCCGGGACTGGATTCTTTTTTTTCTAAATCATATACCAAAAACCTGTTGGCAAATTTTCAAACCATGCACTAACCACGTTTTTCAAGAATAAATGTATTAATGACCTCAAAAAAATGTTTAACCGCTTTTAACTCAAATAAAAGAAATCAAACAGACTAACACTAATTCTGAGTTATTCTTTTTCATATGTTGCAAATCTCTTTGTTTTAAGGAATTAAAATTTATTTATTTATTTATTTATTTATTTATTTATTTATTTATTTATTTATTTATATTTACTTTTATTGACCTAAATCAAACTCCTTTAAAATTTTATTTATAAACTTACTTGAAAATGTTTGGAGATGATTGACAATGAATGTGTTCTCTTCAACGGACTCGATGTGTACCATAGAGGAATTTCTTGAATGACAGAACCTCTAAAAATTAATTTTATATGCATTAAACAGCATTAAGGTAAAACAGTAAATTCATGTCTGTGTCTCCTATAGCAATATCGACATGGCAGTTATTGTTACATCAAATAACAGTGGCCATTCATTAATACGAACGGGCAATTTCTATACCCTTTTGGGCCAAGATGACAGAATTGGATAAGGAATGCAGAAGAATTTGTTGTTACATTAGAGTGTTCACCGCTCATTAGAGAGTTCAAAACTGCAAAGATTTTATGTTGCAACATAATTATCACAAATTTTATCTTCAGAAGCTCGCATAATTTCAATTTCATTCAACAAGTTCAATAAATACATGCTGGAACCATCGTTCTTTTAAAATCCTCTATATAATTATATGATAATAAAAACAGCAGGATACCTGCGCGTTTGCAAATGTTGTTGCAGTATGGTCAAAGAAATAACAAGAAGAATGGTACACGATCCAGTTGTCAGGACAAGTCTTTTCGACTAAAATAGTACGTAGATTAAACATAGATCTCTTACTTATTTTAATTGCAACTTATGTTATTGTGAATGTTTTTGTTACTATGCACAGATGATACGAGAATAGTATTTAATGTACATGTATATCTACCTATTTTAAGTAATTATATTTTTTCCAAAATGTCAAGTAAATGAATTTCACTATAATTTTAATTAATTTTGCATAGAACGCTAAAAAAACTTTTATTTACATTAATCATGTTAATTGTACGACATTATTACAAGTTCATTATAATGTTCGTTTTGTTTCGTCAATTTCATCAATATTTAAATTGTGCAGTATTGTTTTCTAAATATTACTAAATATTCATTTCAATGATTCAATCTTACCTGGACATGTAATTTGGTTGCATGTAGAAGTTTCTAAATGGTTTCCTGGACAATACAGCCCTCCTTGATCCTGGTCAGTGCTTCTACAGTGTCTTAGTCTATTTCTAGTTCCATTTAAGCACGTCCTTGAGCACAAACCCCAACTCTCCCAGCTTGACCATGCTCCTTCGACTAATAATATACATCGCCAAAAAAAAAATAGTTATATGTAAGAATCAGATGTCATGAGTCATAAGAATTTAGTTAGAATAAACATTAAAATAGATGAAAGGACAGAATTGTAAGATTCCATCTTCCATATCATTTTCATCAAAGTAAAAATGATTATGTAAATGTGTCGTACAATTGCACATAATAATAAATTGACCTTACTGGGAACTGTGCTATACTAATTTTTTTTTAAAAAGTGATCGTAATGTCTAAACACAAACAAATCAAACAAACAAACACCACACCAAGCCCTAACTCCCTAAGGAAAACCAAAATAGGAGAGAAAAAAGAAACAATGTGTAAATGAATAAATCCCTCTATTAACTTCAGATTCGTTCATATCAGGAAGCTTTCCATCTAGCTCACGGACCGTCTGTGACTCTATGTCGGTGCCTGTTCGTGCCTGAAATAATTCATAAACGGATGTCTGCCTCCACAAGTTAACCCTGAAAGTCGACATGTAGACCATTGCAGTCTTTCTGTTACATATCCAACCAAATTTAGCTGCTGCATTAATTTATACAGATTTACATTGAGATACCTACTCAAGCATGGTCCACTGTTGCAAGTCATAGTTTCTGTGCTACTCCCTATACAGGTGTGCACATTAGCAATGTCAATCTGGTGCATACATTGTCTATTTCTAGTAACTGTTCCTTGATTGCATGTATGAGAGCAGTGTGACCATTGACTTCATGAAGACCACCCAAAATGTCCTGTCATATAATTATTTTGCAAACTTAACATTTATCCAAATTTATGTATTGCTTTAAATATGAACACATCTAGATACATTCTTATTTTACTACATGTCACAATATAATCAAATGTTTAAATATTAAACTAAATATATAGCAATATTTCAGTCAAGATTATTTTGCAAAATAAGTTGGTTCTTTTTTTCTGAACATTTCAAATTTACTGTTCTATCTTAAATTATATGAGGGAGAAATGTATTGACAACAGCGGTCTTCGACAGAGACTGATTTTTGTGTAAATGAAAAACAAATTAACAAGGAAGGACGGCATTCAATGTACGCATCCTCCAACACAGGACCACCGGCAAGGAGACAAGCAGGACATGAAACAAGACAAGGCACGTGGGCAAAAACAGACAGTAGGTCATTTAACATTATTCAAAACAGGAAATCATAGAAACCTTCAAGGTATTTAAAGATGCTAATTAATTAAAACACCTACAAAAGGGGACGGGACCAGAAGGACTGGGTAGGCAGGAGGGGGTAAAGTGAGGGATAAAATAAGGGAAAAGGAAGATACCGTATAAGAAAAACATGAAGGGACATAAAAGTGTCACCACAATTGTATGCAACAATAAACAAAAAATACATCTGAGAAACACAGAGGATCGCTGCCTTGGAACAGTCAACAGCATAAGCACTGCTGGAAAGATTAAACCGGTTAATAATAATCTGTTTCCATATCAGTGCAGTCATCGACTTTGAGGTGGGATACGCGTGATCCAGACAAATAATGAGACTTTTGATATGATTTAGTTCCCTAACTGTGGTGTTACTTGGGAGGAAAACAATATATATTTTTTCTATAAATATCATTAAAATAGACGGTCACTTAATGCTAAATTTGTTACAGAAATGTCATCTCCAAAACACATGTTATTTGTTTGACAATTTGTTTCGAGTTCATGTCGAAAATGTTATTGCATTCTCTTAAATGGAATCTGCTTAAAACAGATTTTCACAAAGACTTATTAAGTGTGTGAGAAACAATAAAAAGCTCACAGATAAAAGCAGGGTATTTTTATGATAGAAATTCCCAGTGCTTACAAGTGCATGCAAATTGACTGACTAGCTATCAAGTTGCCAAACTACGATACTAGTTGATCTGGTTTATACAAAAAAATACATGGTTTTGTTTGTGATACTGTCTGTGAGCAATTGATCTAATAAAGAATAGAAAAGGCTTGAATAATGTTTTTACTGCTAATAACTGGAAAGGTCTATTTAGAAAAGGAATGACCAAACGTACCACATATTCCACAGGTTTTCGGGCACATCTCGTCAACCTTTGGTAATGTCAAACATGCTTCAGAGTCTAGAGTTCTAAATGCGCTACATGCATCGGTATTTGTGTCCATGCAGGTGTCAGTGTCGCCAATAAGATTAAGTTGGTGAGTCATCCCAACTACTGAATATATTTGAAAATTTACAGAATTTTAGCGATATTTCAGCAGCCTTTGATTTGTGTCTCCTCGTAAAAGTAACAGATTGTAAATTGCTTTGTAGTACAAAATTACTTTGTAGTTAAGTATCAAATTGCTTTGTAGTACATTCAAACCAATGCAATACTTGATAATTGTAAAGCGCTTCTTCACACATTCCTTATTTATTTTCAGACTTGACAAAGCAAATTGAAGATGCTAAAGATTTGTATGTTAAAAAGGTAAGAAAGAAAAAGAAACAAAACAAAAGCAACAGACCTCGTTACTCGGAATGAACTATTCTAATTAATCAATACTTTGGCATAGCATTTGACAATTACTTCAGAGCATTTTACAAATTTCATTAAAAGCACACGGTGATAACTTTTCACAAATACAAATAATAAAAGGTGATTTGTTAATATCTAATGTTACAAAATTAATGGAAATGCCTTCCTGCTTTCGGCATTTTTCTGTATAAAAAACTTGGTAGACACAGTTTAGTTAAGCTAAGTTCATATAAGATGAATATGTGCAGTGTGGTTCACAATATGATGAAGCTAACTAACAGACTGTAAATTGTATACTGTTACATTATGTTTCGTTAAATACCGTCACTTTTAAAATTAAATTAAATGATGTTATTTACCCAGTAACTCATGTCAAAACAAATGATTTCAATAAGCAAACTTGAAATTATATGCTTCTTAAATCTTTTTTTGACATTGTGACATAAAAATTATTGCTTTTCATAGAAATGAAACAACAACAAACAATTTATAAAGATAATTAAAACTTCGCGTATTTACGTGATTGCTGATTCTTTTGACATGCATGTGTATTGCAATGGTCTAGTTCACAACACGAGGAGCAAGGTGGTGGCACAGAAGAAGAATTCACTGATGCGGCCAATCGCTTCCCAATAATTGTTATTGGATTTGCAGTGACTTTGCCAGTTTCAGTAGAACAGTGCTAAGTTTAAAAAACAATACCATTTCTTTAATGTATTCAAATTATCACTATTTGTGTACAATGTATTGTATATAATCAAAGCGGTTTTATATATCTTTATCATTGAAGAAGCAAAACCTAGATATTCCCTTATTGACAGGGGATTTTAATGTTGTATTTAAGTATATGTATTGACAGTATCCAATGCGATGCCTTTCCATTTATGGTTAATTTATAAATGGTTCAAATATATGAACTTCATTTATCAATCTCATTAAAATCATATTCTAATTGTTGCTTCACTACCCTACGCTCGTAGCGAAGAGTAACCGAGCGAAAAGTGGTGATCTGATTTAATGAGATTGTTCATTAATCAAATTAAAATGTTAATATAAAAAGAATGCGATATACTCAGAAATAAGTTGAATTTGGGAAATACTTGAATATTAAGAAAACATTTATTTTTCGTTATTCAAAATATTCCTCATCATCTGATATATTAGCGTTTCCATCTATTTACAGAATCAAGCAAGGGAACAGTGATTGAGAGCGAAATAATAGTTCGGTTGCCATGATATCTATACATAATTCTCTAGTATCCCCTCATATGTTACTTAAAGATGTCTTTTGTAATTAAGGTTGTTACCACACTTAAATGAAATTTTATGTATGTATATAATTATGCTTTCTAAAGCAATTTTCAAACATCAAAGAATTTTTTTTGTACTGCAAATATTAGTCCACATTTATATATAATCATTAAAATTTATGCATTTATATCTTATTGAAAAAATTAACTTTATATAGAACAAGTTTCTAGTTACCTCCCTTTATCAACATGGTAATTTCTTTATGGAATAATATTGATAAATCTTCATTTGAGCATTACATTTAAAACCATAAAAATTGAGTTACAGGATCTTTAATCGATATATTCCTAAACTGGTGAGACGTTAAAATGGTAAGAGTTATCAGCAAAATGGTTATAATAAACAAACTTTGTCATCTTAAAGTAATACGTACATGTTTATTAATACAGCCAAGTCGATACCTTTTGTTTCCATAAACCGTTACTTCTCGCACATAGCATATCTGATTTTGTATAGAAGAAAATAATTATTGTTTACTGCCAAATCGTTCTGCATCGTTGAAACTGCGTTCAGAAAAGATTATGTGAGCTAAATCATAATGTAATTGCCTTTCATTTTATTTCAAACGAAGTGTAAGGTATTCTTTAAATTTGATTGATCAGTCTTAATTGACAGTATTGTCGCAGGGTCATATTGATGTATTAATGTTATATGTTATTAGTCAATGTATGTCCGTATTGTACACCGTAGATTATGTTATTTACATGTCCATGTCATGTCTGTTGTATCAGGTAATGTATATATCTTGTGAAGTCCTATATGTGTGTCCTTTTCCTATATTCCATTCATTCATCCTTTTATTCATTTACTCATTCATTCATTTCTTCATTAATTCATTTATTAACAAGTATGTACTAACAATTGGTACGGGCCTCAATTCTAAATATTCTATTTCCGCACTAAGTACCTTCACGCATGCGCATTCCTACTGAAGATTTTCATGGCGCGAGCCAGACTTCGTATTCATCGATAATAAATATTTTCTGAGAGCGTATTTCTGTATTTTTAAAGGAAAATATGAATGTCTGTATTGATCCCATACTTGTTATTCTACATTTTGCCATTCATGATTTTGTGTCATTTGTCATTATTTTGTATTTGCACTCCTACTAAAGATTTTCATGGCGCGAGCCAGACTTCGTATTCATCGATAATAAATATTTTCTGAGAGCGTATTTCTATATTTTGATAGCAACCCTCAAGCCCAGAACCTCTTAGCAGCACCTTTTCCATATCGTCAAGAGTGGACTGCGACAGTATGTTAACCTTATTTAGATTTTATTATATGAAAAAAAATGTTTTACCTCATTTGGTTTACATTGTACTAAGTTAAAACAATTTGCAGGATCTCTTATAAGGTCACAGGACAAACAACGCGACGATCTGTCAGATGTACCTTTTAGAGAAACTGAAATATTTTCGTTGTTTTTTATATACAACTTATATATATTGTTTAAACAATACATTTGTTTAAATCATTATACGTATCTATTGTACAAAATAAAGTGCAACTGTTATAATTCGTCATCCTATAACGTAAGCTATTTTTATTGCAAATACAACACTTTCTCAAAACATTACTGTTTCACCGTGAAATTACTCGCGGGCATTGTACTTGAAGAGAAAACTGATTTTTACCGGCTATAGTAATTAAAATGACAGGAAGCCAAAGACATTCTAGTACGTTTTGCCACAAAGAAATTTCAAATATAATTTATTTACATTAATAGTATTCTGTGGCACGGTATAGCTATAAACCCAGCTTGTGAGAAAAGATAACAGGCAATTCGTAATTCATTTATCATATGTTTGCTATTTTAAAAGATGGTCCTAAACTTACCTGGAATATTACATTTATTCAAATTGCAGAAGTTGTCCGTGCACACTTCAGAACAAAACGTTGAATCTTCAAGAACTGCAGTCTTAAATGATAGTAATAATAATCATAAATCTATTCAATTTGATCATTATTTATTTAAGAGACTTTCATTCAAAATGTTTGGACTAAGATGATAAAGTCGATGATCAGTATGAATCTGAAATAGAAAATGTATTTTCCAATTGTAGACATTTCAAATCAATAGTACAGTATCTTGTAATGTGTTTTTGTTTGTTTTCTTGTTATTTTTTCGCCGAATCACGCATTTTTGGTCGTATTTCGGCGGTCAGTCCACCTTATCTGCTTTCCTGGATAACCAGTCAGTAATGACCAATTTCTCGGCAAGTGACCAACAACCAACCCCAAACGATTTCTGAATCATTTGTTAGAGACAAATGATCATAAGACTCTATATCCGGGATCGTTTGTTAGGGTGAAATTAGGTTTCGCTCCAGGATCAAACAACCGACCTCTTTTAAACTAATCCGACCTGTTAAGCTAAGAGAACGGATAAATGTAATGAAATACTTCGTCTTAATATCAATGGTGAAGATATTGGCGTTGATACATACATATTTTTCAAAAATATTCGTTAATTGAGAAAGAAAAGACAAAACAACAAATCTTCTATAAATAAATGGATGTTATATGAATTATTCCGGTCATACGTGAATTACAGACACGTTGCAGTTTATACACGTTTAATTTCCAACAAATTAAATATATTGTCATTATATTGAAACTGGTTAAGATTATACATTTAATTAAAGATTAAGCAAAGTAACCGACACTTACCATACCACGTGAACATCCAACCGTGTACTGGACTTTTCCTGTTGACAAACCGTCTGCTCGAGCAAAACACACCTTTTTAATGAGAATGGCTTATTATCAGATTTTTTAAAAAAGCGGAAAAATTATGGACATGATTTATTTTTTGCCTAAGGAAAATGTTGAAGCAAAACCCTTTTACAGATTCTTGTTCTGTAAGCAAGTCTTGAGGTAGAAAAAAATGCTTTTCCTAAAATGCTGTACAAATTTTGGTAAGTTCAAATCGAAAGTATTTTCTGTTTCTTGACAAGAAAACGATTTGCGGTCATGTAAATTGAAGTTTGTAAATAAAGGTTTTCCTGCCATCATCCATGAATAGTGATTTATTTGCGGAATGGTAATTGTACGTAGCAGATAAGAAAAATTACCAACAATATCAATATATTCTTTTAGTTTGTTTTATTGTGGTACCTTAATCGAAGTAATGACATGCATGTATTACATCCGAAAGGGATACAAACTGAATATCATATGCATAGAGATTACCAAAGAGGATTTCTGTCTAAAAGGTTTCTTTGAGTTAATGACTTCAACGGCATTTGCATCAATTTTACTTGTTATTTTGCTTCGGCCAGACGTTTCAATCTTTGTCGCAACAGAAAAACATTTTAGAATTTCAGGCATGGCATTACTTTGTGAAAGTATGCATTAGGTTCTACTTTTTCACAAAAATATGCAACTTTATTATTAAACAACGAGCACATACCAAGAACATGGAGAAAAAATTGATTTTTGTTTTGGATATTCAACTGTAATAGAGAACGATTTTCTATGCTGATGTATACTTAAAATGAATTTAAGACAATATGTGTCGAGAATATATCCATTTAAATATTGGTACCGAATATATTATACTAAATGTGTGTCTACCCGAATTATATTATACTCATATTGATTTTAGACACTCCGTAAATAATCACTGCGCACAAGATTATATTAAGTTGCCAGAAAATCCTGCGCTCTATACATGCGTCGGAGACTGTAATATGCAGACATTTTATTATACCTCGATTAAACGAATTATTGGATGTCTCAGAGTCTTATTGCTCTCCAGGTGTAATAGACTATATGTGGCACTTCCTAGAGGCCTAGAAATATGCATCCTCGAAATTGCTGAAATCTCAACATAGTGCTAGATATGACAAGTATTAGGCAACTGAATGTAGTGACGTACATAAGTACATTCTGTACAATAGTAAACATATCGTGGTAAAAGTTAATTTTATACCATTCCAATGATTAGATAAGAGATAACATAATTTACTATTGATATCTATCCACTATGATAAAACTAATCCTAAACCAATAATAACTGGAATAATATATATACACAGTTGTACATGATACTCGCAATGTCGAAACAATAATAGCAGGTGTAATCCAGTTGATATTCCGAAAAGATATAGAGAGCTAAACCTTTTATATGACTATAACAAGAGGCTTTTTGAGTGAGAGAAGGAGTAAGAAAAAAACATATCCTCTGATTAGCTGTTTGACAAATAATAATAAAAAACACATATTAGTTCATGTTATGTGGATGATCTTACCACATATCTTGATGATATATCTTGACAAATATATCAACATCAGTAACTTCGAAACCTGCTATGACAAAGGCCATAGAACACTCTCGTCGGCAGCCTCTAGATCGTTCATTAAACGAGTTATATAACGATCCAAGGTTGGTTGTACGATTGCTCACATCACCTCTAAATATCTATAGTCGACTAATTAAAGTGTTTATAACAACCTCTATTATATATGTGCTCTTGCGAGACGAGGTAGTGCATATACTTAACTACAGAAATTAAAACTCACGAGTGGAAGAGCGATTAACGACAGGATAATGTTGACGATAAGTTCTGGTGGACTCAGACTTGAGCGGAGTGTGAATAACAAATATATACAAGTGTCAACTTGTAATTTGCCATCCAGATCCGAAACACGATTGTATTTCTAATTTCTGTGCGTTAGATTTCTCGGTATAGACAGACGCGATACAAATTAGTCAGATACTATATGCGGAGAATTCCATTCGACCTAGTCGCTATCTTATTATTCATATGTTCTTCAATATATATGGCATAGCTGGACGTATTAAAAGTGAGTGATAAATGAGGTCCACAAATTAACAGCTTGCACACTAATATGTGAAGTGTTATCCTGCTGTTCTACAGAAATTAGAAACAGTCTCCTGTCGCTATCGCTCCCGTCGAAGTTTTAATCTCTGTAGAACAGCACGGATGAACACTAACATATACTTAGAGTCATCATAACATTCGCTTTATTGCGCTAATGCGGTCCTATGACGTACTATAAAAAGGCGACTATGAATTGAATTTGATATAACGTTAGTTTCGACTTTTGTTCTTCTATGGAAATTAACAAAAAGAATTTTAAGAAATACGGCGTTTTCATTGGATGACAAATAAAGCTGGACACTTAATTATTTCAGTACATATCACATCATATTTACCAGCTAAAAAGTCCATATTTGTATAATATTAACTATTAGATATATCAAAATCTCACCTAATTCAGGAAATACTTTAATAACGATTAGAAAAAGGTATAGGCTTGCAACATGACCTGCAAAAAAGAAGATGATGTGTCTTTATACATTTGTAAAGGCGATTCATTTGTTATTAATGAAATTTTAAATACAATGTTTTGTCCAGTCATAGAGGGAAAGTGCATATATAATTTATTACATTATTTTAATTTAAGTGTTAAAAGATATCAAATTTATTAAAAGTAAAGTAATTTTGCGTTGAAATGAAAACCACTACATGTAATAATGAATAAAAAGTAATCTTGAACAAATACGTATTTTAGTCCGTTCGATCCACCCCTTTAAAGTTTAAACTTTGTCATGACTGATGAAAGATAATATTTTGTACAGGTGCCTCCTCATGTCTTAGATATTAGACAACGTGGTAGTTAACTAAAAAGCAGCACTGTCGCCAAAATATGTTTTTAGGATTTGGATGTTTTTTGTGTACAGTTTGTAACACCTTTCTTGCAATCAAAACATCAATAAAAAAATAATCTGTTTTGTTCTTCAGGGATTTGGATTAAGTTTTCTGTGTACAGTTTGTAACACCTTTTTTGCATATTGCACATGCAAGATTGTACATGCATTGTTAATAAAATTGTCCATTTCTGATATCTACACCCAAATGGTTATTTGATAATGAAATTAAAAAAAATAAATGTGAAAAAATGTTTGTATATGGATATGTATTTTAATTCATCAAATCTTTGCCCAATAATTGCGTAAGTGTCGGGAGGTTTGTGATCCACTCTATAAAACTGAAGTGGGGGGTTTTTGTCCACTCTGTAAAATTTAGTGGTGGGGTTTTGGTTCCACTTCTACTTAAAATTTAGTGGTGGGGTTTTGTCCACTCTATAAAATTTTGAGTGGTGGGGTTTTAACTGGTAGGGTTTTGTCCGTCTTCCATGGAAATGGTTTGGTTGAGTTGTACCACGCGTATTTCTGCGTTTTCGCTTGGCGCCCCGCGGAGCGAAAATACGACATGGCATGAATCAGCCACCATAATATGTAGTCATCGTAATCAAATAAATAAGAAAATGGATGTTATTATGTACATCAATATATCTATACACTACTGACTTTTTTAAGAATTGTGTTACTATAACGCCTAAAAGAATCGGATGAAAGTTTATGTTTTATGTTATAAACTAAGTTAAATGAAAAGAGAAACTTACCAAATAAATAGAAAAGATAACCTCTCATTTAGCTGGTTCATACTTTGACATGCCATTGAAGATAAAGAACTATTTCAAACTCTTATAGTTTCTTATCTTTAATGAATTAAAGGAATTACAACATTTATCGAACATTTTTTCTTAAATGTAGTCTTTGTCTATACTAAGATATTACATTATACATGAAATCTTACCGGATATAAAACTATGTAAGGTTGTTTCTTATCGGTAATATATTTGTTCGGACCTTGATAAAGTCATACTACGTACCAAATTGAAAAAATCATCTTTGTAAGTTTTTAATGCAGCGGGAACTGCACGCTCGAAATTGTTGTTAAACCCAGTGCATCAGCAACTAGGGGAATCGATTTAACAGCTTAATGTCGGTAAATTGTTAATTATATTAAAAAATTGTTAATACGAACAACAGTAAAAGTCTTTGAAAACATTATTCGTTCAGATAAACAAAAGTCATGTAATAATGAATTTCATGGAATACTTGGAAGGCACTACTTTGAGGTTAAGAAAGTATTAAATCGGAGGAGAATCTTGGTTTGGCAAACATTGGTCTTTGAAGTTTAAATTAACTCAATAGTTTGTCCATTTGTTATTTAAAAGAAGAATCAAAATGTTAAACATATTGTATAAGGATAATTTGCAACCTTACTGGCTGAATTAGTCAATGTCGTTTAAAACACGTAATATACCTTTCATTATTATCTTACATAGTCACTTAAAAAGAACAAATAATGAGAACTATTTTTATTTATAGTTGGCATTAAGAGACAATTTATCATGCACACGATCTAGGCTTGTAGCACAAAAAGTCAAGGTCGTACATTGACCTCAATGGAAATTTAAATGAAAATGCACTTATGTTTGTGCCCGGTCAACAATTTTGTCTTTCCTGGATGAATTTTAAAATAATTTGGCATAAATGTGACATTATGGTGATGATGCCAGGTCTCCAGTTCTAAGGTCAATGTCAAACTTGTATTCCAAACGCAATGATTATGAAAAATAAATTTCTTTTGCGCGGAGCTTGTCATTCATGAATGGACTTTGAAATAAATAACCACAAATAATTGTTGCTTATGAAGATGACATGTAATGGACAAAATTAAGTTCGTCAGCCCAAAGGTCAATTTCATCCTTGAATGTCAAAAGTCATGATATTATAGTACATTGATAGGTTTGTCTCTCTATCATTCAGTGACATATTTTGTAATAACTTGGCTTAAATATATGGTACTTTAAAACAATTTGTGATTAGTGAGAACATGTTGGTAAACTAAAGATCATGGTCAACAAGGACTTTTAAGGTATAAAGTTTCATAAAAGTATTTTGATGG